TTTTTTCCATGTTTAAGTACCGCAATTGATAATATTCTGATTTCTGTCATTGTGAAGTTCCAAAATCTTTTATTTTTTTGGGGATTCGCGCTACCGTTATGCAGATATCTGCGAAACTATCACACTCCATAATATAGAGTACTACATATCTTGATAGTGATAGCAACAACCAAAAATAGATTTAAAAGTCTTAAATTGCAATTGAATTTCTCTAACAAATCCATTCAGTCAATTTCACTTTTCCTATTCAACAAAAGTACACGAAAAAAACAACAACTTCTTTTCGTCATAATAAACGTATATATAAATATATATATGTAAATATATGTAAATTAAATATTACATATTTAAAATTAAATCGCAACTTTTAACATGGCTCATCGCGCTTTCTGATTAGCTGATTAATCTGCAATAAAAAAATATTAACTTTGCCTTCTTTAAAAATAATTTTTTACCATATGTTTTTCTTTTTCTGTAGTGCATAGATAACACAGTTCTATCGAAACTATATAATTGTTTTTATAGCCTTTTTTTAATTAAAGACCACACTCTCATATTTTAGAAACGAAATGTCAAGAAAAAATACTTAATTTAGTAATCATAGTATTTATCAGAAAATGCAGCCTCGTCATTTTCTTATAACGCCATTTATTCGTTATTACTTATCATCGCTTATGCGTTGTTTTTTGTTTTTTTCACATTTTTTCTCTTCTCTCTTCTTTTGTTTCGAACAGCTGGTATATTTTCACTATTGTAACTTTCCAAAATTTTCATTTTATGTCGATCAGTTTTGAGCGTGTTTAGTTTTGTACGTGTGCATTATTTAAAAAATATCAAGTATGTTTGTAAATGAAACGTGGATCAAGAGGAGGGCATGTTAGAACAGCATCACATTATGGATTCAAATTATCCCCATTCTCTTAAGATAGATAGACTTTAGCCAGAAGTGTATACGAAAAAAGTTTAGCTGTTTAAGAGTTGTGGAAGTCACTGTCCTCAGAAAGAAGCATGCCGTATGATACCAAAGTCTTAGGAACGATGAGACTTGCAAACACCGTGTGTAGTTTAAAATGACACAAACAGTTTTCGATTTGATCATTTTTAATTTTTGCATTTGAAGTTCTCTTTCAGAAAAGCGTCTTCCTATAGAAATTTGCAGTTTCACTAAAATATGAAGCAAAATATAAAAATCTGTTCGCATCTTTTTGTGCATTAATTAGCACATCTTTCAAATGGACAAAAAAATTATTATGATGTATGAAATTTTGGAGATAATGGTACTGTACTGCGTATCAAGAGCACTATAATTACTAAAGAGATATCTGACTTTTTTAGACCTTACATAAAAAATTCACATTATCTCATTTTCAAGAGTAGTACTGTTAACTCTACTATCTCATATAATTTTTTTGCTAATGACCTAATTCATTTCGTTTATTTTGTTTAGAAAGCATAGATCTTTTAAGAGTCTTATTTTTCGGTTTTTGAAATACGAGAAAGATATACTGAACTTGATGTAGATTCTGAAAGTCGACTCTCTGGATTATTTTAATATGTGAAAACTGAAGTTTTAAAGATAATGTCATTTCTGAGAATGTTCTTTCTTAATCGATACTATAAGTCATTTTCCTATTCCATTTAGCTACAAGATTGTCAAAAACAAGTTTCATTATCATTTTATCAAGACTACTTTAAGTGATATTTCGGTGAGTGCTTTGATTTTGATTCACGGCTATACAGGTTTTAGAGAAAGATTTTTCATAAATAAATGTTGATAAACGGCGATAATTTTTAACAACAAATACAGCGAACTTTAAATTTTGAAGTTTTCGTTCTATAAAGATTATTTTAACTGATAAATTTGTATTAGTTTGAGAGTTATTACTTCTGGAGAAGTTTAGAATTTTGTTTATTCACGTTTACTGCTCTATGAGTTATAAGAATTTGTTAAATTCCTACTGAATAAAGCCTTTTTTTTTATCCCCAGACGCATATATAAAAGTGAGATACTTTGAGTAACTTTGTTACAACATTAAAGTAAAACAACGTCCATATATGATGTGAGAAACATATCATTCTGAATTGTAGAAATAAAGTTAACTTCCCATATTGACTAAACTTTCTAATTCTGACTTTTTTATTTCTTCTAGTACGTTCACTACTACATTTTCGTTAGTTAAATCACTCTTCTTCTTAAATTCTTCGTTCTTTGCCCGTTATATGTCATCGACAACAGCAACAACATTTTTTCAAAAAAACTCAAATACTTTTATTTCGCCGTCCATCAAAATTTGTTTATAATTATTTTAAAAATTTGGGTCTTCATTATATAGATGCGTTTATTGATACTTATAAAAAAATTTATGATAAACCATTAAAATCTATCGTTTATTCATCTGATAGCTATATTCAGTTATATCGAAAAAATCCTAATTTTGATTTATATATAAACATAAACTGACAGATTTTCAACATTCGATGATTTTGACATCAAGTTTGATACGTAATATTAAAACAGAAATATATTTAAATACCATTGAAAACTTGTTAAGACGAGAACAATTGAATTATAAAGATTTTTATTTATTTTCACTTGTTTTGTATAAAAATAGAACATCGGATAATTTAAAGTTGTATGAACGTCTTTGCAAATATTTAATGCAACCATCGTCAGTAAAACATCATCACAAATATATTGTCGATGTCGGATTTTTAAACAAATAGTTACGTTCTTCTGATGTTTTTGATCGATAAACAAAAAAATTATTATTATTCTTTTTTTCTAATGAAAAGACAAGAGAAGTGTTCATATTAACCCTTTCCAGCCTGATGTATACACTTTTTGCTGCGTTTTAGAAATAGTCAGCTGGAAAAGGTTAAGCCGATCTAGGGTCATGGGATTACTATTTGATCAAAATACTTTCGAGAAATAATCATTCTAAATACGAATTCTTTTCCTTAAACGTGTACTTAAGCTAAACTTAACAAGAGAAATGGGATGGATAGAGCGAGCATACGCATTTTCTGTTGTTAAGTAAGAATAAAAAAAGAGATATGTAATTTTCATGTGAGAAGCAGAGTTTTGAATACTAATTGATAGGATTAAACGTTACAAAACGCAGATTTTGAGTTAGTATCCTAATCCTTGAACAGACAAAACAGGCACATTTGCTCATTGTTATTCTTAGAGCAAAATTGTTCGATTTTTCTTTTCCAAGAATGTTTTTCACTTCTTTCTGGAAGACTTTTCATTCCTTTGTTTGCAAAGTTGTTTAAATATCTCAAAGCTTTTGTTTCTCAATTATGTTTTATCCATGTTAGATTGATGACACTAGGAAAACCCATCCGTTTACAAAGACGTAATCTCAGAGAGAATCGTGTTTTCTGTGTACAGACTTATATGTATTTTGTCTAAAAAAAGAAACAACATACAGAATCCTTAACAAATGAGAGAAGAAGACGCAGAAAACTTTAAATATATCAATGTGTTAGAGGCTTGACTTCTTTATGTGAAAAAGACAAAATCTGAGCTGTATTTAACATTATCGCATTGAAAAATTTTCAAAAACTAAAAGCCACTTAAAACGTTTTCAACAGGGTAAACAAATTCAATTTTGACGTTAGAACCTAATGAAATTACTTTTAAAATTACTTTTTAATACGACCAGATACATTAGAATATAGCCTGCGAGAAACTCGAGTAAGATGTCGATTTTAAAAAGTTCTGGAATTAGTGAAGTTTATAAAGTGAGCTTTATTGACTGGAGAATAACTAGGACTATTTAATGGATATTTATCTGTAAATATAGCAACAATTAATTATCAGTATAAAATGAGCCGAGATGAACGTTCTAATATACCATTCAAAAGAATCTTTTAATCGTTATAAGATGAAATGATCAATTATTCATAAACACGCCTCTGAACAAGAACAAAGTCGATTCTATTAATAATATAGATGGTAACAGGTTCTTTAATTTTTGGACTTTTTTTTCAATGTGATAGCTCAGATTTTTTTTTTTTCATATGAAAAAAAGATTAAGTGCCTAGTAGTCAGGTTACATTGAGAATGTGGAGAAAATATATTTGTCATTTTGGCAACTACTGTTCCAACGTACGTTAAGAGTGGTACATAGATTCGTGTTGCAAATTGAAGAATATATAATCGAACAGATGGTTTTTACTGCTTTTTCTGTTTTTTTTTCTTCAACTGTGGCCATAACATGGCTCTAGTCTAAATCGTAATAGTAATAAATAAATATGAAGAAGATTTTTCAATGGGATATCAATAGACGACACATGTTTTAAATCTCAGCAATGAAAATTAAAAAATTTTCTCATCACAAAAAGTGCTTTGTATTTACAGATTGTCATAACTCATCTTCCGTAAATTGGATGGAAAAAAAAAAACTCAAAACATTATTTCTCATAGAAATTAGATGTTAGAGTACATTTTATGGACTGTATCGAACTGCAGTGAGAAAGATTGTCGCAATGAATTATCTATTATTCACCGAGTTCTTATCTGTGCTTTTGAACTTGTCACATTTGATGTGATAAGATAGTTCATCGTACATATGTCTAGTCGTGTTAATTTTCATTGACACAACTCAGATTTAGAATTGTTTTAATGTTAAAAATGTTTCTTCTTTAGATATATGCGGAGGATGTATTCTTTGACTTTCCCTTTTCCTTTTCTTTTCTTCTTTTTTGTTCGACTAATATTTACATAAGACTTTTTATTCTTCGTATATCACTAAAACATAGATCAGACACGTGTAGTGTTTTGGTAAAGTTTCAGAAATCGAAAAAAATAAAATAAGAGAAGCTACTTTTCCGTTTATTTTTTTTTTCGTCAATCTCAGATGCAATACTATTTTTAATTTTACTTCATTTTTAAAGAGAATCATGTTTTAATCTTCTTAAATGAAAAATAATTATCATTTTTTTTTTGTTTTGTCTGTATATTTTAGCTACTGCTGGGATAAGGTACACACACAATGGCTGGAAATGGTTATGAATCGTATGGCGATGATAATGTTGGTAATATAATCATTGACGCAAATAAAACACCAAAAAACAATGGTTTTATGTATAACACTGGTGATGATGCTGTACCAGATTACAATGAAGCATTTCCAAAATTGGTTGGTGATAAACGTGCACCCGAATCCAGTTTATTTCTGTCATCTTCAAAAACAATGACGACAAATAGTGGAAATATAACTTCATCAAATGCAAATAATAACAATATGCATACGACAACATCAGCTACAATCACTCAACGCTCAGATGATGATGAAAAACGACGAAAAATGGCTATTCATGCAACAACATCGACAACAAAAATAATTGAAATTCCACCAGAAGAACGTTTAGCCGATAATCCTAGACGAAATAATAATCAGAATCAGAATAATCAACGAAATAATGCTGGAAACAATTCTGTTGGAAATAACTTTGGTCAATCATTACAAAAACTATGTACACGAATAGAAAAAGACACAGGTAAGTTTGATATTGAACATTATCAAAGCTAAAACATCGATTTTTTTTCTTCTTTCAGCTACAAATATAACATTTTTTTATAAAGATCAAACACTGGTTGTTAGTATTACTGGTAAACCGGATAGCGTACGCACAGCACAGATGTTAATTTTAAATGAATTACAGGCACGCGTTCGTCTAGCTGTTCATATACCACCAGAATACCATCGTTTTATTATTGGTGCAAAAGGAGCAGTATTACAAAAATTAGAAAGTGATACGTTGACAAAAATAGCTGTACCACAACAAGATTCGAAATCAGATGCAATTATTGTTTCCGGTTCAAAAGATGGTGCGAAACTATGTGAACAAAAAATATTAGAAATATATAATCAACAAGTACGAAAGTTTTTGATCATATTTGAGAAATGAAACGCTAAAACAGAACATCAGTAATCTCAGCTAGTAATGGACTGTTCTCTTTATAAACTTAGTCTGAGTATATGAACTTCATGCTTCAGAGACACTTTTATCGGATTACTACAGATATTTTAAAATGTTATCTCTTAGTAGTGAAACATTCTTAATGTTAGTTCTATGGCGTAGTAGTCTTATCAATAAGTTCAATTTTAAGACTTAGACTTAAGACTATGTCAGTGAGTATATAGATGAGTTAACAATTTGTGTGGTGAAGTTCTGATGTACATTTTCTATTTTCTACTTTTTAGGCAAACAAAGGTCACGAACGTTTAGTCATTCCACATCTATATCATCCATGGATTAAGAATCATTTGCAAGAACAATTATCGACTGAATTAAAAGTTCTCATTGATATTCCTCCATCCATTAAGCAAACTGATGAAATATCTATACGCGGTGAGCGTGAACCCGTTGAACAAGCAAAAATGAAAATAATGCGTTACTACAAGGAATTGGTAAGATATCAAATTTAATAGAATTGACAAACTTCATAGTAATTGTTCATATCAGAGACTAAAAGAGATTGGAAATAAGCCGACTGATAAATAATTTGTCCTTTAGTAGTGATAATGATTTTTGTTTCGCTTTTAGGATGGTAAAATCATGACATTTCCATTAGATATACCAAAACAGCAACATCGTTTTATTTTGGGTAAAAAAGGATCGGGTTTAAAAGAAATTTTTGATGCTACAGATGTTGATGTTAAAATACCACAACAAGACGATGATACGTCAACAATTCAGGTGATTGGTGAAATGTCAAAAATTGGTGAAGCTATTACCATGATTTATAAAATAGTACGTAGACCTCTACACACACACAAATTATTTGAACTTAAAAATTGTGGTTTTTAGGCCAATGCAGTAACGTTAGTTCAAATCGATGCACCCAGATGGATGCATAGTGTTGTACGTGGTGAACGAAGTGTCAACATCGACAACTTCAAGCAACAATATCCTGAAGTGAAAATATTTTTTCGTCAAGATCGTATCGATGTTGAAGGACCACCGGAAGAAGTTGAACCTGTTCGAACGCAAATTCAAGAAGCAATTGATAGCCTTAAATTGAGTAATACAACGTATCAAGAATTAGTTATTGATCCACAACATTATAAGCAATTAATTGGAAAAAATCAAATACGATTACATGAATTACAAGATGAAACGGGTTGTGATATTCGATTTCCGATATTCGATTCGAATATTCGAATCGTAAAATTAATGGGCTCAGCAACAAGTGTCGAAAAAGCAAAACAGTTATTATTAGATAGAGTAGCAAAACTAGTAGGTTTTTCAACTATTTAGCATTGATATTCAATTTGAGACGTAGCATGGTAACTGTAAGCTCGAATATTCTTTTACTTTCAAAATTATAATAGGAAATAAACTTTTAAAAGTTTAAATTAGCAAAGATAAAAGTTGTCAAATATTTCTTGAGCGATCTTTGAAATATATATTTAAAGAACAATATCATATCGTCAATGTCGTTTCTTTTTAGGTAAATGAACGTGTAACAGATATTTCAATTGAACCACAATATTATCCACAAATATTTGGTTCATATGGGAAAAAAATAGATGAAATTCGTCAAAAATTTCATGATGTTCAAATAACATTTCCAGATGCTAATGATAAAAGTAATAAAGTTAAATTACGTGGCGATAAAGATGATGTTGAAAAATGTACACGTTATTTACAACAAAAAGTAAAAGATATGTATTCACTTGGTGTAACCGTACCAAAAAAATTTCATCGTATGATTATTGGTAAAGGTGGTGCGAATATTCAGAAAATACGTGAAGAAGTCGATGTTCGTATTGATATACCAGCGGATAATCAAGATTCAGAAGTCATTAAAATATCAGGTAAAAAAACAGATGTTGATAAAGCAAAAACAATGATTGATACAATCGTTCAACAACTTAATGCTAATTTTGAAAATTCTGTCGAGGATACGATAACAATTGATCCAAAATTCCATACAAAATTTTTTTCACGTAATCGTGAACTATTACTAGAATTACAACATCAATATGGCGATGTGAATATTAAATTTCCCGAACGTAATACACAAAATGATCAAATACTATTGCGTGGAACGAAAGAAGCAGTTGAAGGTGTTAAAAAACGTTTAAATGAATTAATTGATACATGGGAGAATACAATTACACGTGAAATGAATATATTACAAAAACACCATGGCTATTTGTTAGCACAAGGTGGATATTATATTCAACCTATACAAAAAGAACATAATGTGCAAATTAAATTTCCTGCACGTCGTCAACCTCAGGATGATCAACAACAAGAATCAGATTCACAACAAGACGTAGTTAAACTTATTGGCAGACAAGAAAATATTGATAAAGCCATGAGTGATTTAGAAAAATTGATACCTATTGACGATACCGTTGATATTCCACGCGAATTATACGGACAATTATTAGGAAGACAAGGTAGTAATATTCAAGCATTACGAGATCAATATCCCGACGTACAAATATTATTTCCAACAGCTGACTCCGGTTCAAATATAATTACTTTATATGGTCTACGTGAACCAGTGGAAGCTGTTAAAAAATATTTATTAGAACGTCATGAAAAATATCGTGAAGTAAAAGTTTATATTAAACCTGAACATCGTTCATTAATTATTGGCCCACGCGGTAGAACCGTAAATAATTTAAGAACTAAATATGATGTTAATATAAAAGTTCCACAAAATGATGATCAATCTGAAGAAAATAAAGGTGAGAATGATGTTATTATTCAAGGTAATGAAGATAAAGTGAATGAGTGTCGTGATGAAATATTGGCAATTATTAAAGATGTCGAATCGAAAATAACAATGGCAATTGAAATTGATCCACGTATACATGCACGAATTATTGGCACAGGTGGTAGTAAATTACAGCAAATACAAAAGGATTATAATGTTGATATACGTTTTTCACAATCAAATAGTTCAAATGTATATGTTAGCGGAAAAGATCAAGACAAAATTGATGCGTGTATCGATCATCTATTAGTACTAGAAGAAGACTTCCTTCAAGATATGCCCCATCGTCAAACATCTAATATACAGCAACAAGGTGAAATGACATTTCAACATCAATTACTTGAGCAACAACAACCTGATCAAGTGACAGCAAATGCCATAACATTTGTTGGAGCTAAAAAACAGAAACAACAAAAGCAGACATCATTTAAAGTTAAAAATGCACCATGGGGTTCATCGTCAAACGATGAAAATAATAATAATAACGATGAACAACATACATCATCAAATATGAATGGTACAGCTCAATCGCCAAAACAAAATGGGACAAAAACATCAAAGAAAGATAGACAAAATATATTGGACACTAATGATTTAGGTTGGTGAAATTTATATTCTTCTAAGGCTATTAATGTCAAAGAGTTATTAGAGAGTTCTGAACTTTTTCCGATTTGTAAGCTAAATTTGTAGACCGTAAGTATTCGAGTACTTTCTAATCCCTTTACTACGAACAGCGGGCACAAAAAACAGGTTTTTAAGAAGGTGACAACTTCATAAAGTTTATATAATCTTCTATCGGTAAAATTAATGCATGAACCAATATAATTGACAAACTGTTCTGTATTTTCTATTTAGGTGAATTTCCAACATTTGCAAATAACGGTTTGACATTGTCAACAAATGAAGTAAATAATCAGCAACAGTCAGTCGTTAATACAATACCAATTAGTTGGGGACCATCATCTAAACGAAAAGAAAAAACATAAATAACTTGTTTAACTACTGAATAGACTGTACCTGTTTGCCCTCAATATCTTCTACCTCTCCTTATTCATTCGTACGTTTTTAAACGATATTTTGTCTGTGTCAAGAAACTGTGATTTTGCGTCCTATATGTGTGTGTGTTATTTTGCTCAAACGTAGTCGTCTATATAAATCCCTATACCATTAATATTTTCGTTCATTTAAAGTAGAAAAACGAATAGAGTCATTATTTAATAGCTAGATGCATGTCTCTTTTCTTTTTTCCGTAAAACTTGTTATGCTTTTTGCAATTTCTTTTTTTCTGCTAGAAATTGATTCAGTTTTCGTTTGTTCTTTTTTGTCTTAAAGAGGGAAATACGCAGTCTTTATGTTTGATGTAATTAAACACACATATGCACTGCAACGGTTATGATTTTAGAGATAATTTTGACTTTTATATCGTTTTTTTTTCTCTCTTTTGTTTTACCATTTTGTTATTTTTTAATTCTTTCGATCTGGGAAGCAGTTGTTTTGAAAAATGCGCGGGTGCTGTTTTTGTTTTTACTCATACATACAACCATATATTTATTTTATCTACTTTGTGAAAATTTGTTGTTTCCTTTTTCTGTTATTTATATTCGTGTTTGTTTTTACGTGCTACCTATTGATTTTCTTCTGTTACTTAGATCAATTTTCAAAAAGCAAAAAAAGCTCATTACCGCAACAAAACTAACACACAACAGCATAAAATTTGATGAATGAAAAACTTTTATTGTGACAGCAAGAAAACTTAAACATAACGAGAATGATTTCAAGACAAAATGACAAGAAATGGTACCACTTGTTTTTTATTTGTCTTTTTCTCTTTCTTCCTCTATTATTGGTTAGTCGTTATTCTGTTCTTGTTTTTTTTTATACTCCTAATCATCCAGTCTCTACTTATCTTTTATTTTTCATTTGAAGAGATGCAGTGTGGTTCTCGTTTGTTTTGTTTGCGCAAATTTGTTTGCCGTGTTATTAATCTGTTGTTGCTTTTATTTTGTTGCTCGATGAATAAAAGCGAATTGATCTTGGTAAAAAAAAAAGCCAGCATAATTTGTCTGGATGGTAAGATGGTACTATGATATCAACATAGGTCTACTCATTATGAGACTGAAAATGGAAGTCGAGCCTCTTGATTAAAAAACGGCTTTATCTTAGGCGAGATCCAGATTTCTAGCCGTAGCACGATACTGAATGTGTTTTTCTTATTCGTATTCTGGATGAATATATATCCAGAGCTCATCAATCCATTGTTTGAGATGTTCGATAAATCAAGAATATTTCTGCTACGAATCATAAGTAATACTAATAGGATTTAATATTATAAACATAAATATTCGCATTAAGATTACGAGTTCAACTGTTATCAATTTCAAATAAATTAGAACAAAAATATGGATATATTCTATTTGAATGTAGTCGGTTAAATTACATCAGATGTAATTGTTACCGAAACTCTGAATGTTCTGTATCCAATTTATCATTGTCTACATGTGGATATAACGGTTTACATAAAAGAAAAATTTCAGATGATATTACGAATAACAACAAGAATATGATCAGGTTTCTGTAATAGAATGTGAAAAATGGTGAAGAAAATCAAAGTAAGAATAGCATTTACAACATCTAATAGATGATTGGAAAGATAAAATATAGGTCATTTGATTAAACATAAAATTTGCATCTTATTGAAGACAAGACCGCTGATGAGAATGAAGATGAGAAGTACATGGAAGCCCGAAGATAAGAAATTCGAATTTATCTGAGGCAAAAGACAGAATTTGTCTTGATATATAAATTTTAAGAAAACTTGTGATGAAGTACCTATGATATTAATTGTTAAGTAGAAACGTTGCATTAAAAATTTATTGATAGTAAAGCAATTTTGTATTTATATCAAGATTTGAGAACAAGTTTTGAAGTGTAAGAGACTAAAATATTTCGTCCAGTTTTTCCAGCAGGTTTAACAGTTTTTTTTTGAAAAAGATTGTTTTTCCGCCTACAAAAAGAATGTTGGAACTAGAACTAATCCTTACGTAAGTTTGTTTGTGATTACAATGGACAGTTGTAGAATGAATCACACTATTCCTGGATACTAGGAGCCAAATCAGCTAGATTATTTTTATTCAGATCTTTTTAAAGCTTATGATCAGGATCAGAGCTGGGCAAGCCACAAGTCAAGTCAAGTCGAGATCGGAAAACTTTTTCTCTCAAGTCAAGTCAAATATGGTTAAAATTAGGCAGAACATAAAATTTGTTAGCACTTTTTGAGTGAGAAAGTTTTTATAGTCTCAGAAACTCTCTATCATAGTAGAAAAAATCTAATTAAACGAAAATCTCTTACTAGAAATGACTTGACTTGAAAAAAATTTCTCAAGTCAAGTCATACCCCCAGAAAATATTGATTTGACTTGGATTTGACGCATTTATGACTTGACTTGCTCAGCTCTGATCAGGATTGCCAGGTCAAAAATCTCAAAAGTGCGACTTTATACGCTCAGGGTACGCATCATAGCTGATTACCTCAACTTCCAGCTTCCCAGACCTATTCTGAAATGAGTTATCCGAACTTTATGTATTTTATTAGTGAAAACTTTTCTTCAATAGCATTTGGTTCATGAATAGAATGCGAAATGAATGGTGAATTGTCGAAACAGTTCAAATTGAGCTGAACGGACAAAAAAGACAAGTGTCGGCTTCGTTACGCAAACGAATGAGTGGGAACGTTTTATATGCAAACTGTTTCAGACTTACTGAGGAGATACTAAAATCAGTTGCGAGGAGCATTTAGAGTTCCGATTGCGTGTCTTGAAAATATATACAGTTGACTTTGAAAATTTAATAGAAAAAACATGTAAAAGTCTTTCCTATAAAGTCTTATTTTTCGCTGGAAAAGTAAGATACCTGGAAAACCTGCTTATGGTATAGAGTCCACTATACGAAAATTAGTTACGTCATAATGGGTATGATATTTCAGGAGTACAGGAGAAAACACAAAATTCTACTGGTGATACTCATTTGATCGACAGCTTATGTTTTTTTATCATATTATAATCATTTCTACGTCACAAACACCATCGAAATATTTCCAAATGAAAGTATTTGATTAATTAGTAAGCAGTTAAAAGAAATTGACAAATATTTTCAAAATTACTCGCTTGCCATGAACTTTTACAAGGTCTTCAAGACACAACTTGGTTTTATTGTTACGGAGTACTTTGTGAAAGTATTTGTCAGATACTTGCATATAATTTTAATTCTAGAAAAAAGACAAGTGTCAGTTTCGTTACGCAAGCGAAGTTCACTAGAACTTCTATTTATCAAGAGATGCCCCGTATACCTGCGAACTCGCACTCGCAATTGAATAATTAATATTTATAACTAATATCCACTATATTATAAGTTTTTGTTGGTTATTCTTCTAAGCATTAGTAAAACTAACAATATTAATAGCGTAGTGATAAAGAAGATATAATCGGGTTGTCATAGTTCAAATGATAAAGTCTTAGTATAAAGCCATCATACAGTTATGGCAAGAGTATCAGTTTATAACGAAGCTTACGAATTGTATGAAAGTCAAATTTTGCAACCGATTTTGGTCTTGTTCGTGGCTCTTAGGATACATTCAAGATATTCATGATAATTGATGTATCGCTTTGTACTAGTATTATTTCGTTAAAATTGAATATTTTGTTCATTTTAAAAGCAGAATAAATATGATGTGTGTGTTTTCTTATTATTATTGGATCACAACTGTACATTTATCTCTTATTATCGGACGCTCCAATCAAATGACAACGGATTCGAACATAGGACTTTTGAATAAAGATAACCATCTAAATTCTTACAATAAAATTTAATAAAACTAAGCATTCTTCAAAAGGAAAACTGCCACTTAGGATATTTTATAGTATTGTTTTGATATTTATACAGCAGTTTCCTTTCCTTTTAGCTTTCTTTTAAATATTGCTCGGAACCGTTCAAATATTTACCGTATGAAATCGCTATATATTATATTTTACATGAATTTGATCGATTTTCAAATTAAAAAAATGTCAAAGAAAAACCACTTTCCATTTCTGGCGCTACCTTTCTTTGTAGTCAGCAATAGAACTCAATAAATGGAGACATATAATCATAAATTTGATGAGGAAAACAGAAAATGTGATTTATATACTTAATCTAATTAAAATATTACGCGAATCGACTTTATTATTCATTAACTCTCTATTTAAAAAAAGAGCATATTGATCTCATTATACTCTTCCAATTTCGTAATCAAAGAAGTTTTATATACGCAAATACGTTTTATTGTTTTATATACAAATATCCTTAATTATTCGTATTGTATATGCGGTACATGTTTGTGATCGGTCAATGGCATGTATAAAAATTTCATATATGTATATATTAGAATACATATTACAATAGCACATAATAGAAACGACAGAGCCTGATATTTCAAAGTGTACTCATGAACATTTGGTAATACGAGAGTAGTATTATAACAAAATCTCATTGCAGTGTGTCCTTATCTTCGTTTTTTTGCTATCATTTTATATTCAGTAATTAATCTTGAAGAAGTTTTATCTTGCATTTTAAGTTATATTGATCTTATAAGTAACGTATCTGTTTAGATGATAATATCTGATCGATCAAACCAGTGTATAAATAATTTTGAATATAAAGAACATAACTTTCAATAAAATAATATATTTAGAACTTTTATCTTCTACTTACCAGTTGAATTACCTTGCTACTTTAACAATCGAAACTTTTCTGCATTCTACAGTCTATAGTATAATTGAAATACATTGAGCATCTACGAGTTCATTTTTTCCCAAAAATTGTGATATATCGCAGCAAAAATCTCAAAAATCAATCACCCAAGTTTTCAGAGAGATGTGTTTATAACATATTTGGCTTTAAAAAGTGCTAAAATTTGTTTTTCCCAAATTTTGAAATGTTTACTTTATACTGC